ACACACACACACACACACACACACACACACACACACCACATAAACCTTCGAGGGATGAGCATCTCACAAGGTGTGCCTCCAATTCCAACTGCCACCCCTGGAGTCTCAGGGAGGGGGAACTAGGCTGCTGGCTCTGAGACCATGAAAGGAAAAGTATGGAGGCTCTGCGTGGACCACGGGAGCACAGCAGGGCCCGTCGTGGGAAACACCCTGTGTCAATGTAGTTGTCATGGCTGAATCTCACTGAAAGCAAGTCTGTATCTTTGGGGTTGGCACATGTGAACGGGTGAGGGAATGTCCCCTGCTTTGACTGGCACAGTGTTAAGATTTCCAAGATCCCTCCTGCCCGGAAAGTCCAAAGAGTAAAGCATGAAGGTGAGGTAGCCCCTCAGCATCCTCAGAGAGGAGGAGAAGGCAAAGGCATTTCAAAATCCCATAGGAAATTATTGAAGGCATGAAAACTGTCAAAGTGGTATTGCTCCTGGTATATGACTCCCTTAGATACCCTCCTGGGCTCTCTCCTTTCTGCACTTCCCACTTAGACCTCCTCTAACAAAAACTTTCCCTGGTGCCCATTTTCATAGTTTTCATTTCTTCAATCCCATGGCTGTACTGTGTTTTCCTACCCATGGGCTCACGCTGTATCTTCTCATCCCTGTTGCCAAAAAGCCCTGCAGACAGGTGACAAGGATACTGAAGGCAAAGATTATTCTAAGCCCTCAATGGGGCGCTCTCATTAGCCTCTGAAATGTGGTCACCTGATAAAAGGGTATGGATGTTATTTTAAATCTCATGGAGAAGTCTCTCCATCTAATTCTCACATTTCCTTCTCAACTGTGGCAGGAGCTTTCCCCAAGGCACAATGAACTCAGGACCAGTGTCCTGGTCTGCTGGTGAGACAAGATGGCCTCCCACTGATAGGAGAGCCCGGGCTACGATGGCAGGAACATTCTTTCCTATCATAGCTTCCCCTGGTGGAAGCTCATTAACATTCCTGTAACCATCTGAAGAGTTAAGAAAACTCAGCACCAGCAAGTTCCAAGGAACTGGGTGACACTCAGGTAAATCCACTGGCCACATCAATGTCAGAAAAGTGGAGGCCCAACAGGAGGCAGCTCTAGAGGGGGCTGCCACAAGACCATGGACTCCGGTTCTAACTTAAGTACCATACCATTGTGGAAGGTTCATTCATTTCATTTTCAAGCATCAAAAACCTTCCAAGTCTTATGAAATATATATGCATATATATGTCAAACCCTCAAAACATGAGGTATATAAATGCAAATTGTATCCGGAGGAATGTTCAAAGAATGTCCCCCAAACACATAGTTCAAAGAACCCACTTTCAAAGGGGGAACTGGTTTCCCTTCTTGATTCTTCCTTATTTCTTACCTAATCCATTCCTTAATGAAGCCAAAGTGGGAAGATGTGAGAACACAGACGGAGAAGTGTGGACACAACCCAGATGCGGGTTGGAGAAGGCCTTATTTTTTCCCCAACTCTGTTAGGAATGAGCTGAAGAGGCTCCTACCACATGTTCTTGATCAATCTTTGATAGATGGGGGCTGGAGACAAGTGGCTCAGTAACATCTCTAGACTTGAATTAGCAAATCAGCAGAGATACACTGAAGCCCTCATAGAAACAAGACTGGATGTAGGTTGGCTTTGATCTGATATTAATAAGAACTAGAAGGGTCAATCTAGCTCCCATCAACACATCTTCCCAACTACAGTTCTGTGGTGTCCATCAGGGTCCAAGCTTATCATGAGATGGGCTGACAAAAGCTAAGTTAAGTCAAGGGGCCACACCTTGACTGACTGATCCCCATGAGAACTGGGGTTTGGCATGTGAAACAGAGTTCAAAGGTATGATGGGACTCTCCAGCAACCTGGCCCAGTGATGCACACCCACCCACACATATGCATATACACAGATGGCACGGAACCCATTGAGGGCTCCAACTCACAGTGACATGATGAAACTGAGCTGGTCTGAAATGAGCTGGGAGGAAGGCTGTGGGCTCCTCTCCCTGAGGACAGTGCAGATGCTCAGTGAGATTCAGGCTCTGGTTTGATCAGAGAGTGATTGGAAACAGCATCATGGGATGCCACCCCAGAGAGGAGTCCCAGAGTCCTTCCATCCACTCAAGACACCAGATGCCTTTTTGGGCAAGTCAAGGGTGTGAGGAAAAGGGAAGGGTCTAGAGAAGCCAAGGGCTATACTGAGAGCTGAACATGCTCCCAGAGGATTTGGCATCCCTTTCTAACACTCTCAGCACAATCTGCTTCCTCACTCTACATCAAGGCATCCAATTTCTGATGTCACAGCAGTTTAGTGGTCCACCCGACTTCCCCCTTCCAACCTTGCACAGTGAGAGCTCTCTAACTCCGGTGGAAGAGAGAAAAGTGGGAATTCCACTCTCAAAGCAGGGTGAAATCAGCAAGAAGTTAGCTGAGGCAAGGAACCTTGGTTTCACAGGGCCAGAGTACGGAGAGCCCTGCATTGCCCATACCCTAGATGTGCTGACCATGCCCCTTCTTTGGGGAGAGGAGAGGTGAGGGTCCTTTCCTACCCAGCACCAAAAACTCCAGGGGGACAGATTCAGGATAGCCCTCATCCCATGTCCCATTTGTGTTGGATAAGATTTATGAATGACATCACCTTAATCTAGTTCCCCCTCTGGCTGGGAGGGAAAGGGGTAGAAACAGGACAAGAGGGGAAATGGGGAGTCAGGAGGGCATGTCACCAACTTCCACTTTGATTCTTGCCAATTCCTGTCCTGTGGTCCCAACTACCCTTTAGCTCAGTCCTTTTCCTGGGCAGTGCTGTCTTCAGAGATACCCTGGGCAGCCAGTTCAGCCAGCACATTATCCAGGTAATTGGCATCTGGATAGCCGTGGCCAGTGAGATTAGAGCCAAATTCTGTCTTGTGGTGCACTTCATTCCAGATGACGGTATCAGACTCGCCCGTGGTGCTGGACGTACCGATGGCAAAGATGAGCCGACGGTCCCAGGCTACCAGCAGCAGCTTCAGCACCTTAGAGCAACAAGGTTGGGAGACCAAGGGCAGCTGTTTAGTGTTGGTCAGATATGAACCTCAGAGGGTAGACCCATCCCAAGTTCCCAACCCTCCTTGCATCAGGATAGATGAGGAAGAGATGCAAAACTGTCAACAGGTTGAATCTCAGCTGTCACTAAATAACCTTGGACAACTTCAAACATCTCTCTGAGCTTTAATGTCCTTATTTATAAAACGCCAATGGTGTTATCCACCTCAAAGGTTGTGTACAGCTTATGAGGCTTCATGAGAAAATCATTCTTTTCCTTTTTTTCTTTTTAAAAAATTTTTAGATCTTTTATTTTTAATTATGTGTACTATATGTCTCTGTGTGAGTTTGTGCATGTGACTGCGGTGTCCATGGAAGCCAGACGAGGGTGGCTGTCAACTGCCTGATATGAGTGCTGGCTGAATCAAACTCAGGTCTTCTTCAAAAGCAGTAAGTGCTATTAACCATTTAGCCATCTCGTCAGCCGTATTTTTTTTTCTTTTGCGCACATGTACAGTGTATACACACAGACATAGACATCAACACAAACATATGAAAAGAGATAAATATTTAAATAATTACTGTTTAATAACCTCCAACTCTGTTTCACACTAGCTTTTCCTGGTATCTGGCTTTGCCTGAGTGGAGGTCTTTGAAAAGAAGTCCAGCTACTGGCAGAAGTGTGGACTTGTGGTTCCACACCTACCGCCACTGACAGCACGAGACTTGAGTGCTTCCAGGTGGTATTTTACAACCTCATCCCTTACCTGGCTTGTCCATGACTCAACAGCCTAGGAGATGTGAGTGGAAGGAAAAATTTTCCAGGAGGTCTATGTGGGATTACACCTTTCTACTCGGATTTTCCCTTGATCCTCTGCATGGACCACAGAACCACCCTTTAATCTGGGTTCCAAAGCAGGGAGACATATGGGGTAGTCTGAGGATGAGTGCTCATACACTCTAAATTTATGTGTTTAAATATTCACATACACATGCACACACACACACATGCACTCATGTGTGCACCAAGGTGAGTATTGAGAAAGCAGAACCTTTGAGCAGTCATTAGGTCATGAGAATGAATCTGAAATAACAAGATCAGCACTCATAAAAGAGGATCAGAAGGAAGGTCTTCCCTTCTTCATGACAAAGGAGCCTTTGTCCATACAAGCAGGAAGAACACCCTTGCCAGATTCTGAATTTGCCAGCACCTTGATAGCTGCCAGTACCACAAGGAAAAAAAATAGCTGTTGATTATGAACCACCCTGTGTATGGTCTATGGCATTTCGTTATAACTCAAGTAGGCTGAAAATTTAACCCTCAGCAGCCACACAACCACATCTACTAACATTTAAAATGCAGAAGTATAACCATTTGTTGAGTAAGCTGCTTGGGTCTGGACAGGAAGCTGACTAAAGCATGCCTCTTGTCCAGTTTTCCCTCAGCACCACTCTTAGACTAATGGTTTCTAACCCTCTTGACATCAGGAAAGAATCCGAAAATAAAGTGGTTTTTCTGTCCTCATGTACAGAAAGACAGACATATATTTTTTTTCAATTAGAGTTCTTAGATCCATGGAGGACAGATCATGAATTACAAGGAACCTGAAACTCAAAAAAATAATCTCCCACCAATTAAGATCCCAGATACGTGTTATCGGTGCTTTAATGTGTATTCAGATCAGCGAGGGCTTTGGTCAGTGAGGCAGGTTCTACCTCTGTGTTTGTATTAAACCTCTGGGAGTTAACACTGATGCTATTCCCGGAACCATTTTAAACAACACGAATCTAGGTAAGTCCTGAAATGGTTTAATTATTGTCAATAATATTCTGGGGAGAAAAAAAAAAAAGCTGTTCCACTTCCAACCACCTGCAACAATTAACTGGGTCAGTCAGATGGCTCAGTGGGTAAATGTGCTTGCCATGTAAGCCTGGTGACACAAGTTCAGATCCCCAGAACCATGTAAGCTGGGTGCAGTGGCATGCATCTGTTGTCGAAGCACTCTATGGAGAGATGAGGGATGAAGACAAAAGAATTGCCTAGAAGCTCTCTAGCCAGCCAGTCTGGAGCATGAAATGCAGCAACAAAAAAATAAGAGTCCTGGCCTCAAAACAAAGGTGGAGGGTAAGAACCAACTCCTGAAAGTTGTTCTCTGACCTTCACATGCACACATCACACACACACACAGACACACACACAGAGGAAAAAAAAAATCAATTATTAACTAAAGAATATCCTAGTCAGATCTGACCACATTATCACATATTTGTACAGTTAAAAGAAACCCAGTGGTCATTATAGCTCCCTCCCCCCTCCACACATAACCCCTGTCTGTGCACTGCAGAAACAAAACATAAGGTCCTGGGGCTGGAGAGGCAGCTTAACGGTTAAGAACACTGGTTGTTCTTGCAGAAGACCTGTGTTCGAATCCCAGCACCCACACAGCAGCTAAAACTATCTGTAACTCCAGTCCCAGGGGATCCGACAGCCTCTTCTGACCTCCACGGGCATTGCATGGCATGGGTGCACTTATCTACATGCAGGCAATACACGAATACATATAAAATAAAAATAATAAATAAAATAAAAACAAAAAGCAACAACAAAAAATAAGGCCCTAACTTAGAATTAAATACCCTGGTCCTACTACAGAACATTTGCTCTTACTTTTCTTCCTTTCTCGCTGTCTGGAAGGTAACAGTGTCGTGGGAAGCCTCGGGCACTGAAACTTTTCCCAGGATTTGGGTGTTCTGGTCCCTGAAAACAGAAAGAAAACAAAGGCATTTTTCAAACTATTTCTGATGAACGGGAAAATAAGAGCCATAGGGTGTAGACACAGAGAACAAACCCCAAACAGCAGCCTGGGTTGTCACGTAGTAAACGAGAAGCCTCCTGAAACCTGAATTTAGACCACAGCTGCTCTGAGTCATCTGGAATTCCCCCTTCTTTGACAACAATGATTCGGAACGCTCATCTTGTGGGTTGCTGTGAAGGTTTAGTGAGGCTGGTGCCTTTAGGAATTCCTGGATACATTTTATCATCGTCAATGCCAACATTACCTATTCTATTTTATGAATGAGGAAGGCTACAGCACACAGAAGGTAAATAGCTTCCAAAATGTCACTGGCTTTGCTCAAACTAACTTAAGCCCAGGTTTCCTGAGGTATACACTAGACTCTTTATCCTCTAAGCTACTCAAAATAATAAAATTCTCCAAGCTATGAGCCATGCAGTCAGTTTTCTGAATGAGTCTTGTGATTTTCTTCTTTGTCTTCATGGGTTTTGTTTGTGTCTTTATTCAACATAGACTACAATATACAGGACAGGAAATCTAACATTCTAGCTATTATCACCCAACCCCCTATAGGCACTCAGGATACTGTGGGAAAGAAATTGAAACAGAACTGTGTCAGAACCCAGATGTGTGGTTCCTCTGAAACTCTGGCTGGAATCTGGCTGCCACACAGTCATGTCAGCAGCTGGGGTCTAAAGAGGCAATGGAGTTGTTAGAGGTTTGAATGCCTTTCCTCTGAGAGTTTTCCTCTGATTAGTTATAAGCAAGGCTGCTCCTTCTGTACACATCCACTTGTTCTGTTTTCTGCCATGAATTGAGGTAGCACAGGGTCCTTAGCGAATACAACCAGATACAACAGATTATTTTGGAAGTCCCAGCCTCCAGAACCATGAATCACATGAACCTCTTTTCTTTAAAAATCACCCAGCCTGGGACATCGTGTTACGGCAACAGAAAAAAAATCTAGGCTTCCCCACCAGGGTCTGTCTTAGCTTCGTTTCCTATTGCCATGATGATATAGCCTGACCAAAAAGCTTAAAGGAGAATGAGTTTATTTGGATTGCAATTCCAGGTCACAGCCTATCATGGTGGGGAACTCAAGGTGGCAGGAGCTTGAAGCCTCTAGTCACATCACATCCACAGTCAAGAACAGAGTAACAGACTAACGCACACAGGCTAATGCTAAGCTTGTTGTCTGCACTCCTATGCAGTCCAGGATCTGTAGCCTGGAGAATGGGGGTGGGTCTTCCTGCTTCAAGGAACATAATGCAGATAATCTCCCACAGACAAGTACACAGGTCAACCTCATCTAGACATTCCCCCACTGAAATGCTCGAGACTGAGTCAAGTTGACAATTTAAGCTAACCATCACAAGGCCCCTTGGAGAAGCTGATGAAAACTGACAGAACCACACACTTTCTACTCAAGCAAATGTTTTATCTATAATTACTGAACATTTGTGACCTCCTTGGGAGTAGAATCCTATGTAAAACCCCTTTCTAAGTATAGCCAATGTCATAGTACAGTCCTCTGCAGCTATTGGTATGAGCCCTCCCGGAGATCAGTCAATGCATCCCGACTGTTTAAATGAGTAAGTGGAGGAATAGGAAAGTTAATTCAGTGGGTCAAAACAATATCAAAGTGGGGAAGGGCTGTTGGGAAGAAGGGTTTCAGTGTGGGAGAGGGAAGGATGAGAGAAAGTATTGGGGGGTGAAAATTCCCCAAACTCAGGATAAAAACATGCATGAAATTGTCAGAGTAAACATTTTTAGTTTTTAAAGTATTTTTTATTCTTTGAGAATTCCATACATGTATACAAAGTATTTTGAGCTTAATATTTTTTAAGAATACACAAAAGTGAGCTCAGGTAGCAGCAGCATCTTCCTGGAGAAGGGGGCTCTGATAGTCCCACTAAATCACCACAAATGCACATCATTCCCATGGCCACAGCTCCTAAGCCAGGCTTCCTCACTGAGGACCAGGCCCGACTGTGGCTCCCACTGTTCCTATTGCCCTTCAAAATCCACTTTTTCTGTTCTATAACTGTTACCTCCTTGATCTAAAAATCTACCTGCTACTGCCTCTCTAAGTGCTCAAATTAAAGGCATGTGCCACCACATCCAGCCTACCCTCCATTTCTCCACATCTTTGACCGCTCTACTATGGGGTGCCCCTGTACCAGAAAGTTGTTTTCTGCCTTCTGACACATAGACACAAGCCTCCTCACTTCAACAACTGGGATAACTGAATACTGAAAGAAATGAGGTTTGGAGCAGCTCAGTTACTAGGCCCAGGGCCTGAGATGCACACATAGACGAAATTCCCCACCTTCAACCCCTCTATCAGGTTCCCATCTGTGCACTGAAAGAACTGAAAAACAGGCAGCTGTGGCGACAGCCAGGAAGTCACTGGACTTTGAAGGTCCCATATTCCCCCTTCATCTGCATAACTTTCATCAGTGGTGAGTATCTGTTTCTGCTCTCTAGATTACTTGGTGAGATGTATTTATCTTCCCTACCAGGTTGCTAAGTCTCCCAGGGAAGCAGCCTAACAGGGAAGAATGACGTTTTATGAATGATCACATTTTCCTGTTTTATTTCCTCATAATTTGTCACTATTTGAAAGTACCTTGTTTATTTTTTTTTGTCATCTTCCCAGCCCCAATACAATGGGGACTTTGGGGAATCAAAGACTGTATCAATTTTGCACACTGCTTCACCAGCCTACACCTGGACCATAGAGCGCATGCAAATGTTTGTCAAATAAATAACAAAATGAATGAAGAGAAATAGATGGGGATGAAAGAACTAGCCAATATTTACTAAGAAATGAATTCAGTCCATATCCTGCAACACCTAGAAAAAGCTCCATGGCACAAAGAAAGGACGACAGTGTATTTACTCAAGATTATTGTTTAAATTTGTTCCTGAGGGCTGTCTTTCAAAAACCAGGGGAAAAAAATGCCCCAAAAGTCAATGCCAAGTATGATCATCAAATTTTAAAAATGCTGGGTGTGGTGGTGCACACCTTTAATCCCAGCACTTGGGAGGCAGAGGCAGGCAGATCTCTGTGAGTTCACGGCCAGCCTGGTCTACATAGTGAGTTCCAGGACAACTGGGGTTAAAGGGAGACCCTGTTTCAAAAAAACCCCAAAAAAAAAAAAAAAAAAAAAATGCAAGTAACTATTTGACTGAGAAATTCCACTTCTAGAAAATGATTCTATAGACACATTCACATGTGTACTAGGTTGTTCATTATAGCATTATCTGTAATAACGAAAGGTTGTAGACAATCTATATGCCCATCAAATGGAGACTGTTGAATTAAATTATACAATGGATTATTACAGGGACATAAGAAAGGATGATGAAGCTCTCTCTACAGTGACATAGAAACAAAGACTATAGCCCATATTGTTCACTGAAAAACACAGAGTGTGAAGCAATGTGCCTATATGTGGCTCTTTGTGCAAAAACGGGAGGGGTAGATGCAATCTCCACTGCATATGTACAAAGGATCCTGGAAGGGTACTGATACATAAGAACAGTGGCGTGACAGGGAGGATCAGTGGGGAGTGAGACCTACAGGCAAGGACAGGAATGGGAGAAAGGCTTTTCCTAATGTGACATTTCGCACGCAAGCATTCAAATTTGAAACAATAAAAGCCACCAGCTGAGGGTAGGCTCACCTGTATGCCAGGGGGGATACTGTAGATGATCCGGATGGTCTTGCAGTCTGGATGGCCAGGCAAGGAGTGGGGAATGAGGTGGTATTCCATCTTCCCCGGAGGCTGTGTGCCTGTCTTGACCCCATAAATGGTCTTACAGGTTGGACACTGCAAACTCCCATCCTGAGGAGACAAGACCAAAACAGCAAGATTAGGAAACTGCTTTGGTCATGACCTTCCCAAAGGACACCAGAGATCAAGGGCTCAGGGGACAAAACTTACCCAAATGAATGACAGATATGAAACCCTGTCCAACCCACCTAAGCTATTTCTGTGTCCTCTAAAGTAACAAGAAGAATATTCCATAAATAGCCCATATTCCATTGCTCAGGTATATAGAAGAGACCTCCCTGCCCTCAAGGAGAACTGACTGGGGCAGGAAGTCTCCACAAGGAATTGCAGTTTAACCAAGGTCCACACAGGTGGAACACATAGTAAGTGCTTAAAAGCAGCAATTGCCCAATTGCCGAGCCTTAGACTCACCCAGCACTTTTTAAAATAAAGATGTCTAGACCTCATACTAAGCCCACTGAATCAGCACTGGGAGGCTACAACCTGCAGTGCCTCAGAGTGTAAATTCTAGAGTCAAGCTGCCTAGATTTGATTCTTAGCAATGCCATGTAACCCTGGACAAATTAATTAACCACTCTAAATTTATGCAGTTTGCCTATAGAACAAGAAACAGCCTAACATCTGTGTCACTGGGCTAGTGATGCCACATAGAGAGTGTTTAGCATGGGTCATATCGAAATGTTATTTGTATAGCTATGATACCTATGAAGAGACTAATGCCCACACAGGATTGGGAACCACTGCTACCAAGAAATACCATGGGCCCTGTGTTGAAGAAAATGGTCCATGAAGCATAGTTATAAACTGGCTTTACACTTTGGTGGGTTTTATAGAAAATGAAGCTGAGGGGCTGGAGAGATGGCTCAGTGGTTAAGAGCACTAACTGCTCTTGCAGAGGACCCAGGTTCAATCCCCAGCACCCACATGGTGGTTACAAACCATCCTTAACTCCAGTTCCAAAGGAATCCGAAGCTCTCTTCTGACCTCCGCAGCACTGTACAACATGGGTACACTCACATACATGTAGGCAATACACTTATACACATAAAATAAAAATAAATATTAAAAAGAAATAAAAAAGAAAAGAAAATGGAGCTGAGGACTAGCCACTAGAGAGGGCCAGAACTCTAGTGGAGTCTCTCTAAACCTCCAGTTTCTGCCCTAAGCCCCATAGCAGGTTGTTAAGGTTTGAATCTGAAATGGCCCTCAAAGGCTCACGTGTTCAAGGTTGGGATGCCCACTGATGCGTTTTGGTAAAGTGACTGGATAATGAGGAATCTAACTTCATCAACAGATTAAGCTATTGGTGGGGTTCATATTTAGACAGTATTACTGGGAACTGGTGAAAGCTAGAAGGTGAGGTGTGATGGAGGAAGTACATTATTGAGACCAAGGCCTAGATCAGTATATCTTGTCCTTAGCCCCTGCTTGTGCTCCCTCCCTCCCATCTCTCACTCCTGTTTCCTTCTTTCTTGCTCTTCCCGATTTCCGTGAGGTGAGCATCTTCTTCCACCACATCCCTGTTACCTTGGTTACTGTGTTTGCTTTACCACAAGCCCACAGCAATGGAGTCTGCCAACCACAGACTAAAGCCTCTGAAACCATGAGCCAAAACAAACCTGTCCTCCTTTTATGTTGCTTTCCACGTATTTGTATTTGTCTGTTGACAGTGGAAAGAAAGGTTGAGGTTTCACAGCAGGATCTGGAGAAGTGTCACTGGGTGGGGCAGGAGGGCCTGGATGGCAAATGTAGTTCCCAGACTCACAGAAAGAAAAGGGGACTGAGGGAAGGAAGCAAGTGTAAAACGTGCTGCCGCACAGCTAGGACCAGAGATCTGGCAGACTCTCAGTCTCTTTGGGAATCCTCTGTGGAGCTATTTGAGGACATGTGCATCCAAGTTCACCTCATTTAAAATAACAGCCCATATTCATGGTGACTGCTCTCTGAAACCAGGGTCTGCTCTAGTCAATTTGCTTCAAAGCTGGAGAGAATGATTCCATTCTCCCTGGGCGTTTTTCTCCCATGTGCCTGAGAGAATGAAAGTGTCTCAAAGGGTTAATGCAGAGGAAGAGCAAAAAATATAGAGGCTTGAGAAGCACGTTTGGAGCCCTGCAGACAAATGTGGAATTACTAGACATTCTTGGAAAGCCTTCCAAAGGGAAATGGATGTACCAGGACACCTGCAAAGCCCCTAAACCCTCTGAAAAGGTAAAGTTCCAGTGAAATGTTTTATCTCAGGGTTGGAAAAGAAAACACAGAATCCTTTACCATGATGGAAGGCCTCTGGCAGCATTATTCTCTGGGATACCAAGGAAGACCCCAAGGTTAGCAATTTGGGAAATTTACTCCAACTGGCTATGTAAAGATGAAGAGGTAAAATGACAGTCATCATAAAAGAAGATATCAGTTTGAATAGTAACAGCAATAACACCCTATAAATTAGCCACAGGGCTGGAAGGATAGCTCAGTTGGTACAGTGTGCTTGCCTTACAAGTATGAGACCTGAGGTCAATACGCAGATGCTACATGTGATAGTGTGCATTTTCCATCCCAGCGCATAGGGGATAGGGACAGGAGGATCTATAGGATTGATGGCCAGCCAGCCTAGCCTAACTGGTGAATGCCAGGCCAATGAGAGACACTACATCTCAAAGGCAGTGATGGTGTTCTAGTGATGACACCCAAGGCTGTCCTTCAGCCTCCACATGTACGTGTATCTGTGCATGAGATGCACGCACATGTGTGCGCGCGTGCACACACACACACACACATAAATAAATAATAAATAATCAATTAGCTATTGTTTCATCTCCACTTTTCAGATAGAAACTGAAATCTCAGAGAGGCTGAAGGTCATTTAGCTTAAGCACACCACTCAGGTACGCTTCCCATCATGTCTCTACTCTGCCTCACTGTACAAGACACAGGAGCAGCCTCTCAAATCCACATATGTTCTTGGGTAAGTAAAAAGTTGAGAGAGAGCATGGAAATCTCAGACTTGGATACAAAGCGAGCTGGGCTGGAAACACAAGAAGGACTCAGACCTGTGGAGAAGGGGCTTGAAGGTGATTCTAGGCACAAGCGAGACTGTGAGTCAACAACTTAGAAAAGCTCAGACTGAAAAGGGAGAATGTCACTGAAGGAGATTCCCAGATTCCTAAAACCAGCTCTAGTGGGGGATGTCACTCCATTTCAATTAGTGGAGCCAAGCCTCATCCTCCAGGGCCAGATTACCTACCAGGCATTTCAACAATGTCTTTACATAGATAATCAAAGGTGTTCTGAATTTGTCTGGAGAAAATGAAATGCAGCCAGATCACTAGCATGGAGAAGACAAGCTATTTGGAACCATTTACCCTGGTGTGAATTCTCACCATGTGTGCTGGATAGCTTTAGTGCCAACTTGACACACCTGGGTTGAGGGAGCCCCAGTTGGGAAATTGCCTTCATTGGACTGGTCTGTGGCCATGTCTGTGGGGCATTTTCTTGATTGTTGAGTGATGTGGGAGGGCCCAGCCCACTGAGGATAGTGCCACCCCTGGGCAGGTGGGCCTGTGTTGGATAAGAGAGCAAGCTAAGCAGGGGCCAGGAGAGCAAGCCAGTAAGCAGTGTGCCTCCATGGCCTGTGCTCCAGCTCCTGCCTCCAGGTTCCTGCTCTGAGTTTCTACCTTGGGCTCCCTGATGAACTGTGACCTGGGAGATGTAAGCTGAATAAACCCTTTCCTCCCCAAGTTGGAAGTTGTCAGAGTGTTTTGACACAGAAATGGAGAAACAAACTAGGACACCATGGTTCCAGCACTGTGATACAAAGCCTCCCTCACTGATGGGACACACTTCATTCAGCAATCAATGGTCAGGTACAATGGATCACTCCCCTTGGAACCCTCCTGGACAAAGCCCACCACCCCCTTAGTCCACCAAAACAGAGATGAAAGGGCAAAATGAAGACAGATTTTGGGGAACATTGCCATTTGAGGGGAGAAAAATAGCAAAGATGCTCATTTCCACTTCCCTAGTGTGATGGTTAGTCTTCCTGACGATTTGATGGGATTTAGAATCACCATGGAAACATACCTCTGGCCATGACTGTGAGGAGAGTTTCTAGATTGGGCTAAGGTGGGAAAACCTACCTGAAATGGGAACAACAGTACTCAGGCTGGAGTCCTGAACTCCATGAAAAGGAAAAATAGAGCTGAAAACCAGCTTTCATCACTCTGCTTCCTGACCACGGCTGCAGCGTAACCAGATGCCTCATGTCCTGCCACCATGCCTTCCTCACCAGGATAGGCTGTGTCTCTTCTTAAAGTGAGAGCCAAAATAAGGCCGCCCTTCCTTTCTTAAGTTGCTTTGGTTGAGCATTTTGTCACAGCAATAAGGAAAGTAACTAATTTACTTGGGGTCCCTTACTTTACCCCAAACTACTTGTGGAAGAACAGGGGCACCCAGGGACAGGGTGAGGTTGTAGGCCCCCAGGCCAGCACTAACCTTGTTCCCATTGTTGTACATGGCCACCAGGCAGTAGATGTGGTAGATGTGGCCACACCTGGACAGCTTCCCCACCAGGTCAGGCTTGACAGTCGGCTGTGGGCCCTTGTAGCCCGAGGGGGCCGTGAGGCGCTCCATACAGATAGTGCAGTCCTGGCAGAAGAAGACAGAACAGACAGACATCAGCTCTCACCCAGCCTGGGCAGTGGGGCCATGATGGTTTGCCCCTCTTCTAGAAAGTCCACAAATCAGGGGTGCTGTGTTTGAGGGGGGTTAAATATAGCATTGTCTTGCTTTACACAGCAGAGAAGTTCCTGAAATAATTCATATACATGCTTAATTTGGTTCATCAATTCTTTTGTAATCTCTTTGATGACGTACTGCCCTTCCTTGGTATCTTCCAGTACCCTGTCAATAGATACCCTGACAAGCTTTGATAAACTGCACATCTCTAAAGGCACTGCATGCTGTATGCCAAAGGTATTAGAGGGGGGCTTATACTGAAACAAATCTGACACATTTATCAACTTCAGCAGTGTTGACATTTTGGCAGGGTAATTGGTTGTTTTGGGTACTGTTCTGTGCCTTGGAGGTGCTTAGCAGCTTCTCTGGTCTCTACCCACTATATGTCAGTAGCATGCTCCCCTTCAATTAGGACAATCTAAAGTATCTCCCCACACAGGGTCATGTGTTTCCTCGGGGAAAAAATCTTTTTGGCTGAGAACCACTAGTCCACATCAAATCCGTTCTAAAGGAAGGCCACATGGATTAGCATACTGCTTTGTTCAAACTCAGAATAGGTACAGGTAGTATTTAAGAATCTGTCAGCATTCTTTTAAATGGGGAGAGGTTAAGCCATGGCTGCAGCTCAGGACCTTGAACTTTAAAGATGAGGCATCAGCTAAAGCAGCTGAGTACCAGTCAGGGCTTAGAAAGCAGCACCGGCTGCATCCTGCAGAAACTGGGACAGACTACATGTCTGATGATGGAGAAAGTGAGCCTGCTCATGCCCCCTGCACTCACCTCCTCTGGCGGGTGCCGGACCTTCTGCAGATACTTCTTCAGTACCTCCTCTGGGGTCTTTCCTGTGGAGACAGAGGGTCATGAGGTCACCAAGGCAGAGGACAGCAACCAATGAGCCTTGTCACTATGCATGCCCCACAGAGGAGAGAAAGAGACAAGTTCAAAGAGAAAGAGAAAAGGCTGGGAGAGAGCTTAGTAAGTAAAATGCCTACCTTGCAAGCATGAGGACCTCAGTTTGACCTCCAAAACCCACATAAAAAAAGGCAGACAAGGTGATGGATGATTGTAATCCCAGAATTAGGGGAGAAGAGAGGCAGATTCCCAGGGTTTGCTGGACAGCTAGCTATTCTAGCCTAATTGGTGAGCTCCAAGAGAATGAGGGACTCTGTCTCAAAAGAGAAGGTGGATGGGACCTGAGGAAAAATACCCTACCCAAAGTTGGTTGCTGGCCTCTTCACACACCATGTATTCATGCATGTGAGCATCACATGTGCACTCCACCCCCAACACACAGACTAAGACAGAGACCGAGACGAGAGAGAGAGAGAGAGAGAGAGAGACTTATTTTGCAGCCATATTTAAGAATATGAATGAAAATAACAGTTGCAGAAAAGCAACTGAGGGGGCCTGAGGAGGGGTGAGATGTTCCTGTTTGCCTTCACCTCTTCTAGCCAGTTCCCTGACATGTCTATTTTGTCAAATCTGCATTTTAATGAAGATAAACTGAGTTTCTCATCCTGATAATCAAAGAGCCTGGGCTTGCTCAAATGATCCCTTAAAAAAACAGAAATGAAAGTACTTTAAACTGGTCTGTAAATCTTAGGCAGCCTTGATTCATTCATTTTACAGTTTGCTAAATCCCATCTCCATGTGTAACATGGTATAACAGTGAAATTATTTTTATGGGAAAGCAGGCAGTTGTAACCCCAGCTCAGGACACCATCCTCCCTGGCTTCAGATGCTGCTGTTGCTGCCAGCAGACGCAGCTCAGCAGTGTGGCAAAGGTGAGGCTCTGGGAAGCATCTTGGGAAGCCATGGGGATTTGAAGATCTCTTCTGGAGCTGGACCTCTGGGAGGCAGGCCAACCTGAAGGCAGGCTGAGGGTAGGATCATGAGGGCTTACAAGGAACCACAGAACAAAGAGATCTCTGCAAACCTGGATCACTCCCTTAATATCTCCAAACTGTTTTCTCACCTACGAAATAGAGACCTACTCCAAAGACCTAGTGACGATTAATGAGCTGATGGATATACAGGCCTTTAGCACTCTGTCAGATGAGGATGCATTTCAGTATGTGCTGTTAATACTGCCAGGAAGAGGGCAGACGTGTACAGCCGCATCCCTTCCTACTGGACTACAAGAAGGCAATCAAGGTCACTGAAGTGGGGAAATTTTAATAGACTGGGAAAGTAGGACAAGGGTTTGAGGAAGTTTATCATGTCACAGCCAAAATCTGAGATGCAGGGTCTTCCCTCCCACTGTCCTGCTTCTCTTCTAAGAATGAAGCTGCTATTGAGAGCCCATCGCCAGTACCTGGGCTAAGCGCTATATACATACATATATACAATCTGACTTGATTTCATAAGAAGCTTGCAAAATGGGGGCTAACCAAGTCATTACATAAGCAACATCAGCAACCAGAAGGGCAAGCCACAGGGCTGACCCAAAGTCTTCAGGGTCAGGAAAGAACCCTGTCCTATTAGTAGCTGAAATATGTACAGGTATGAAGTGACATGAAGGAGGGCTCATGAGACCGGAAGGCCAGACAAGAAAACAGAGGCTCTTAACTAGTAGGTGACAAAGTAAGGATCTGATCCAGTGTTTTTGTTCTGACAGCAAAGTGGTGTTTCTCTTCTAACCGACAGCAAAGTGGTGTTTCTCTTCTAATGTATTGTCATCGTACCACACTAAATATGTTTATGCTTCTGTAGTTTTGCTTTGTATGTTTACATTTATCCAAGTGTTTCCATCAGACCCATACCCAACCCGCTTTGGTAGGATCATCAAAATCTACTAGTGAGGTCTGCTCAGCAGATGCAGAAACGACAGTGCAGAGGACCAAGCTGGGCTTTGACGTTGGTGGAGGCAGAGCCAGGGCTGGAGTCCAGCCTTGGACTCCGGGTATCTCATCAGAGCAAGAGGCCGGTACCTTTCTTGGCCTGCTTTTTGGTGGTCTTGCGGCTTGTGTTGGAGACTCCTGGGATAGATTTTATTTCACTCTTGCTGACAGGGGGTGGGTGGAGGACCAGCTTTGGTGGTCGAGTGAGGCATACAGGCAATCCTGCTGCACTCATGAGGATCCCAGTGATTCCTGGAAAGGGCGAGAAAGGGCGAGACAGGGGTGAGAAAGAGCTAAAGAATGCGTTCCCAACACACCCCACACCCTCCCTCCCTGTCACTCACTCTCCTGTTCCAGCAGACATGCATTCTCTATCCACTCATCTTCAGTGGCATACTTGACTCTGTGTGTGCGTGTGTGAAAGCCAGAGGACAACCGTTAAGTCATTCCTCATGAACCATTCCCCTCCCTCATTAAAAGTATTAAATTTGTTTTCCTGACAATTTCATATATGTATATAATGTACTTTGATTACTGTCATCCTCTACCCTCTTATCACCCTCCAATCCCTATCAATGAGTCCCTTTCTGACATTTAAGTCTTTTGGTTTGGTTTTGTGGCCCACTGATTTTGACCAGGGCCCTCTGTGTGACCAATGGTGGGGTCACCAGTGGATACACAACTGAAGGCATGATTCACCCTCTCCCATTATCTATTGGTAGCTACTAGTTTAATAGACAGGGGAAGAACCCCAGGAGCCCCTCTCCAACCCATGTCAGACTATACTATTGATAGACCCATTCTTGTGCAGGGAAGAGTACAGGCAGCCACAACTACTGTATGCTCATGATTGAATTGACTGTGTTATGCCCAGAAGATGACATTCCGCAGCCTATCTTCTGCCTCTTACATACTTTCCACCCCCTCTTCTGCAATGTTTCCTGAACCTTAGAACAGGTGGTCACTTGGTTTCTTGGGAGACTGTATATCACTGGCTTGGAACTCACCAAGTAGGCTAAGCTGACTGGCCAGTTAACCCCAGGAGTCTGCCTCCTTGCTGCCTCCCCAGTAGTGGGATCATAAGCAATCAGCACTATGCCAAACTTTTTTTTTTTTTTTCCTTTATACTGTGCGGTGGTTTGAATGAGAATATCCCCCATAGGCTCCAAGTATTTGGACATTTTGTCTCCAGTTGGTGGCACTGTTTTGGGAGGTTTTAGAAGGTGTGGCCTTGCTGGAAGAAACGAGATGAGAATATCCCCCATAGGCTCCAAGTATTTGGACATTTTGTCTCCAGTTGGTGGCACTGTTTTGGGAGGTTTTAGAGGTGCAGGCTTGCTGGAGGAAGCACACTACTGGGGGCAGGCTTTAAGAGTTCTTAAGCCTTGCCAGATTTCCAGTTGCTCTCCTTTCCTGTGTCTGAAGACATGCTAGCTTAGCATTCTGTACTGGCCACCTTTCTCCATGCCTTCCCCCACCATTATGGACCCTTACCCCTGGAACTGTAAGTGCCAAGAAACTCTTCCTTCTGTAAGTTGCCTTGGTTGAGGTGTTTTATCACAGGTGCAGAAAAGGAACTAATATACCTGGATTCTGGGATTGAACTCAGGTCCTCATGATTGCTAGTCAAGAGCTTTACTGACTGAGCGATCTCCTACCCCGACCCCACACACTCTCAGCTTTTAGCAACCAGCTCTCTTCCAAACTCCTCTTGTCCTTTCCCAAATTCCTAAAATCCATCTCATTTTCTTCAGTTATCATCCACATTCTCTCCTTTTAATAAGCAAGCATTTACTGCTTATCCCATGATTCTGCTTTTTCAATCTAACCAAGTCCATCCTAGCTTAGCTCTTACCTGCCAAGGCAGGACTGACTGGACTGGACCCATTTAAGTTCTTCACAGGCACAGTGGGGACCCTGAGGAGGGAAAGAATGGATATATTATGCCTTTGACAAAGCAGGACAAAATAAACCAGTGTTTACCTACTAAAGGTCCAGGAAGTTCTTCACACATTGGCAGGAGGTGATAAGTCAAAACTGAAGTCAGGTCACGTCACTGAGAACCTCAACACAAAATGGTTCCAGCCCACTTAGGGTCAAAGTCAGCAGGGCCTCCACTGCCCTGCATGATCTGCCATTGGTCCTCCCTAATTCCCTTCCCCTTCTGCCGGCCTCTTCTCACTGCCTCTTACTCTGTCCTAGCTGGCCCTCTCATGCCAGGCATGTTCGTGCCTCAGAACCTCTACAAATGTTATTCCCTCTACATGAAATGCTCTTTTACCAAGTAATTCCCTATTTCCACCTACAGTCCCCCTTAGTGTTGGCTAAAATTGTCTTGGTGATGCTCCTGCAACCTTCTCCATCCCATCCCAGGACCCCCAAAACCTTCTTGCCTGGCTATACTGTCTTTTAATAAAATGTATGATTCTTGAAAAAAATTGTTGCTTATCTCCCTTTCTGGAATTTAGGCTCAAAGGTCAAAGTCCTTTTTTCATCTTGAGCCTGGCACTAGTAGGCAATCAATATTTATTGGAAGAATGGAAAAATAAGGAAGCACATTCAGATCTGAGTGTACAAAAGCACCACTAAGATGCTATGAAAACATAGATCCTGGACCCCATCCGATTCACCCGCTCCCGCCCCAAAGCCCATGTACCACAGGAATTCTGTGTTTTTTTCCCAAAGCTCCACAGAGGGTACAGATTTTGCAATCCCTGGTCCAGTACTGGGAAACCACTGCTTGAACAGCTGTCACTTCTCCTCGTCCCTGAGACATATAAATACAAGCAGAATCTACTCCCGTCTCTGCCCTCCCCAGCTCTGGAGAGGAGCCTGCACAGCTGCCTGGGAAAGGCGAGGCCGCCCACAGCGCTGCCTGAGAAAACACAGGACATGTGGGGATCGGGCTTGGGCTATTCCCCTCTGCCACCCAGGCTCCCACAGATGGCTTGGAGAGGCCAGTGGGCCTGGTGACAGATGCCTCCAGGAGCCAGCCAGCCTCAGAATCCAGCTGGGGTAGGGCTGTGCTGAGAAACCAGAAAAGAGAAAGTAGGACTTCTGTATTTGTCCATTTGACGAGAACTCATTGAACTCTACTTTAGGACACTTATGCTTGTAGCTGGGGACACAGCCGTGAACATGACACCCATGTTCTTTTGTTTAGAGATCATGATTACTAACATGCACACACCCTTGGGAATAGTTCTAACTGCTTATAACACATACACCCACCTAATCCTTCAAAATCCCTACCCTGGAGGTGGTACTGTCCATTTCCTTGTATAGGTAGGAGAGTTGAGGCACAAAGACGTTAAGCTAATTTGTCCAAGATCATGTAAGAGTCAAGTACACAAAATTAGGCTCCAGAATCCTTTCACCATGCCCCCCTCCTGCACACATGCTGCCAAGCCCCAAGTTACCCGTGTGCTGCAGAGAACATGAAGACTGGGGAGTGTAATGAATACACCCACCATCAGGACTGGGCAGAAGCCCAGCAGTGAGGTCTGTCTGACCCACACAGACCCATTATGATGGGGTTTCCTCTGTTGCCATCCCAGGAAGCCAGATGCAGCAAAGTTCAGACAAGGATGTGACGTTTATGTATCAAGCCAAATGAAAGGCTACTTTTCTTTCTGAACTGTCCCCCGATAAAACAAGAGCGGATGTGGGGAGGGGAAAGCTGTCTTGAAAACAAGAGCCACCAGACCAAGAAAAGAGGAACAGACTTGATTCTAGATTCTGTAAACAGCCAACCCTGTCAACAGTTCCATATAAGATCAGCCACAGTGGTCTGGGGTTAGAGAGTGCCCTCTTGGCAATTTCTCACCCCACTGCTGAGAGAAAGGTGGCCTCAGAAGCCCTGGGCTCCTTCCAGGGCAGGTTCTCTTCCCCAACTCTACCTGGAGACAGATCTCGGCCGGTGCTATGTTCCCAGGCTGCCCACCAGGGAGCAGTGTACAGAGTTCAGCCCTGCACCTGCCTCCCCTCTCACCACACTAAGGCCCCCACTTCAGCTGATAAAGAGCTGTGATTTGGGTGACAAAAGCCACCTTTGTTCCCACAAACTAGACTGGCAGGTTTCCACACCCTATCTGGTCAACCAGGAAGTACTTCAATTCCCAGCTCTGCACAAGAATTGTGGGGCCTGGAAGGTCTGGAGGGAGGGATGGGAGGCCTGCATGTGGGACCCCTGGACACTGTGGGACCAACTTGTGCCTGTGTGTCAGGAAAGGAGAAGTCTGGGTGGCTGTCCCTAGGCTCTGGGCAGCAGTGGGGCTTAGTGAAAGGTGGGGCAGGTTTGCTTAACCAAACACCAAACATGGAGAAATGGAAAAATCCCTGAGTTGGAGCCTGGTGGCCTCTGTCTAAACTACAGCCTCTCAGTCCCTCTGACATCTGCCTGGGTTACCCAGGTTCTAAAGAGGGCCCACTAAATGTCTGCTCCCAGGGTCCCTGAGGCTGTTTGGATATAGGTCAAGTACCTTGTAAACAGCTGCTGCATCCTGTGCAAATTTGGGTGACTGTTTACACTTTTATTTGCTGGTTGTCCAAGGACCTGGTTTCTGCTACTTCCTGCTTTGCTTTAATATTCTAGTTCTCTCACATTCTTGAGGACAGGGTATCAGGTGCAAATGACTGAGTGGCGTCCCTAGCACTACTGGGCACTAGAAACTGGCAACACCTGTTCAACCATCCCTATGGTTCCTGGTTAAAATGAAAACCCCAGAGAACATATCCTCCACTCCTGGGGCCTCAACTCTCAGAGCCTGAGCCCCTCCTTCTAGAAAGCATCAATCCAATGTCTTCCAGTGTATTCCATTCAGCCAAAGCCCTATCCACACGTTGGCCAATCAGAAGATTTCCCCTCCCCCTATCCTATTAGGCTCTTCCCAGTTGTGGAAAGTTCAAGTTTTTATTTCCATTGATAAAATATAAAGCCCAGGAAAGAGAAGAGCTGATGTGGTGGTGGGAAGGCTAGTATTTTTCTGAGTTATTCACCAATCCAGGAATTCTCAGGCAGGACAATGGCCTTGTTTCTAAGGCAACGGGCAACCATGCCTAGTTGGAGATACAGAAGCCAGACTCTGGGGGGAGAGGACGAGAGGGACCTAGAGGGACGACTGCTGCCCTGCACTGCATAGTCCCTCACCCTTTATGAGCCTCCTGCTTGTGTCTAAATAATTCAGAGCATCTTTTGTTCCTTGTCAAGCCCCTCTTCATCCCACTTCTCCTGCCCTCCCTGGTCTTCCTCCTTTTATCCGTGGGAAAGTTGCTTGAAGAGGTCATGGGCAGAGAGAGGAGGGGGGAACAACAGAAGGTCGATGGCAGTGCCAGACAAAGGGGCTAAACACGCTCATTAGTGGACAAGAAAGGCTGGAAGAGAGAACAGTAGTGCGTTTGGGAGGTGGTAAGAGGTGAGAAGGAAAGGGTGGAAGACAGGGGCAGGCAGGGACCTCTCGTCAGAAAAACAGCAAAGAAAAAAGCAATTTGTTTCTATGGACCTTTTGAGACTGTACTGCTTAGACCTCTACTCCTCCCTCCAGCTTAGACTCCACTGGCTGGAAGAAGCAAATGAAGAAAAGAAAAATGAGCTGCTGACTCTCTCAAAGTGATCCAGGGGTGTCTCCTTCAATGGTGGTGTGGAGTTGCTGGACATTTGTCAAGGGGGGCAGAAATGAGGCACAGGCTGGATCTTGTCAGCATTACTTCAGTAATGACACAAGTATAGATCCAATGGATACCCACTGGACTATCTCTGTGCTTTCACTATACTGAAGGTCTCATTTACTCGTCTAGAAAGAAGGTGCTACCATGAGGCCATTCTACAGCTGAAAACACTGAAGACAGTGCATATAAAACTTGCTCCAAATGGCACAGCAAGGAACTTGGCCTCAAGCCCAGCAGTCAGGGGCTGGAGCCTGTGTCCTCATCATGAGCATGGAGCCTCCCCCTGCATGTCAGTACTCACCCTGGAACTCTGCTAGAGCACCAAGCATGCTACTGCAATCCAGTGTACCCAAACAGAGTCGAGGCATGGTTTAGGTGCCCATTTCCCTAGCACTCCCACTTCTCCACTGAGGAAGTCATGAGCATCCCATGCACCTGACTCACATTTTGCCCTTTATAAGCTGCCTTCAGCTGCCATGAGCCCTTTGCCAAAACACTGATGAACCAGGGGACAAAATACCTGGTTCCAACTCTTTCTCTGTACCACATATGCTAGGTGATGCTTCACGAGAGATAAATCTGAGTAAGTGCTCATGCCTAACACTTCTATCAGTAAAAGAAATGGGATAATACCAGGTAAGCACATCTAGGACCCTGTCAGGTGGTGAGCTCTTTCTGAGGAGATCACAATGACTCTATGAGCAGGTAAGGACAATTCAGGACCCCCACTGACATAGAAGACACTGGCTCTTGCCACGATCCTAGGGCTTACATGAATGAAGCAAGTGTAGAGGCCACTCCAGCCTTGTATCCCTCCCTTCTGCTGTGCATCTTCCCTTCCTTTCTCTTCCCCACGCCAAGCTTCCCTGTTCAGAGATCTAGCTGAGTGTCTATGGCACCTCTTCAGGGCAGCCTAGACTTTCAGTCTAAGGACTTAAGCCAGCTTTAGAGCCATCCCAAACATCTACGACACAGGGTTCCAGCAGAGCCAGACCCCTGGTAAAAAAGGAAAGATGGTTGAGTGTAATGGGCTGACAAGAAGCCAGGCTGTCAAGGCAAAGGCTGTGGGGGTACTGCATGGACATGGATGCTCCCATTTTAAGAGCAGATGTTTATATCAGAACATAAAAAGCAATACTAATAGTACCTATGACAGCACCAGGTTATCACTAGAATATCTGGGACAGGGCATGGAAGACGTAATCCTCTCTTGGCACCTACTGTTAACATGCACTAGGGTACATGCCTGGTAGGGAAGGAGGACTGTAGGGAGAGACTCTGGCAACAACTTCCTGACATCTGAATACCAGTCATGCCAATGATTGGCAAATGAGCCTCAACTTTCTTCACCTATGAAATGGGAGCATAAGTCTCCTTCACAGGACTGTTGTAAGGATCATAAATGAGGTAATTATAAATTGATATAAGGATTATTAATGATAAAATAAAAACCTCCAAACCAGAATACAGTGGGAACTCAGCTATTGTTTCTGATTATGACTTCCTATGATGATAATCTTTATACCTCTTAGTGACTCTAACATGGCCACATTTACTAATAATGAGGAAGTAGGGCTCTCTGTGTGGATCTTCCCTCAGCCAGAGCAAGTAAGAGGCAAAACCTCACATCTAGACGTTTTGGGAGTCTGAATGTGAAAGCCTCCTCCCATATCACATACATACACCATGCTGGCCTCCACCTGCTGGTGGGGAGCTCAGCTCAAGAAGACTAGTCTTGGTCAGTCCTTCTGGTTATATGACCCAGCATGTGAGTCATATGCTTTCCCTAAGGTGGGTACGTGCTCTGAAGCATGGAAATACCTACCCGGAGGCGATCAGCACCCGGGACTGGGCAATGGCCAGTCGCTGTAGGTTGGTTCTATTCAAGGTGGCCAGGGCCACCCGTCCAGTCTTACTGTTGGCTCCTGGAGGGCTAGCAGGAAAGCCTGCAGTTGCCCCAGCTGGTGCATTAGAGATTTGTCTCCGGATCACTTGTGATGGGGTGGTCTTCCCTAGGCCCCGGATAGTGCCTGTGGTGTCGAGCGGCTTGGCCCCAGGGCCAGGTGGAGGGGGCAGTTTGACCACTCCAGAAGGGACCATGTTCTTACGAGTTGCTGGAGGCTGCAAGGGCCCTGCGTTCCCATTGACCACAGCCGCTTTGACGCTCATCACCAAGACACATTGTGGACAGGAACAGGGTGTTGCAGGAGGCGAGGTGGCCGTCCCAGGGTTGACTGGCCAGGACTGAGCCTTGGGCAGGGTGCCGGTGACCATGGGGTAGATGAGGTCTAGTCGGCGTCGGACACGGCGCTGGCGCTGAGTCTGCCTGTTGATCTGGCCCATGGTGCTGAAGTCAATGATGTAGCTGAAGCCAATGGAAGTGAGGTCGATCCAGGGGTGCTGCTTTTCATAGGCATGCTGGATGGTGATGCCCACTTCCATGTCATAGGGCGTCCAGGAACCATTGTCGTTCTCCCACTCCCACACCACACCCTTCCCGGGGGCTGAGGATGGGTCATAGTAGTTACGGCGAACTGGACGTAGGGTCCCTGCCAAAGTAAGACAGAGGGATCAGAGTCAGTTAGAATCACACTGCTTCATATTCAGTTCACAGGCAAACATGACTGAAGTCCTACTAAGCACAGAGCCCTAAGCTGCCTAGTGGGACATCAGCTTTGAATGAGGAGTCATTCCTGTATTTCAGGAATCGACAACTAACCCAGAGTGGAAGCAGACCAACCCACATGGACGGCAGGAGAAGTGGTGTGAGGCAGCAAGAAAGCACCTTCATGCTTAGGGCTAGGACACACTGGTTTGCAGGCAAAGCAATTCACTAGAAATTTCTAGCTAATACAGATCACCTCACTTAACTCCTGTTCCCTGAGAAACAAGGTAACTTCTTCCTGGGAGTTTTGTTTATGTACTCAACAGATATGAATTCACCCATAAGGATTTCTCATGAATGCCTGACAACTCACACTATAGAAACACCCTGACACACAGCAGTGCTCCTAAGTGCCATATGCCTTCTTTGGCCCTCAGAATGATGTCCCTGCACCCAGGGGATAAGGAATGAAGAACACAGAACAGTGGAAATCTAGAGGATAGGGGAACAACTTTGCTTCCACCTAGGTCAGAGGCTATAGCAATAAAGTGGTCCATGGCTCTTCAGAAGAAGAAGGAACCACACCAGCTAGATGGCTCAGCAGGTAAAGGTGCTTGCTGTCAAATCTGACCACCTGAGTTTGATTCCCAGGACCCACACAGCAGAAGGAGAGAGATAACTCCCACAAATTGTTCTCTGACCATGTGTGTGCTGTAGCAACCCCCCCCCGCCGCCAAAATAAATAAATGCAAAATAAAGTTTTAAAGAGGGAAAGATGTGTTCATGTGAGAAGGGAAATCATCTTGAGAGACCTCACACATATTTCCCAGAATTAAATCTTTGATCAGCAACAATAACATGCTCAGTGGTCACGAGGATCATTTTGTAAGTATCTTAAGTCTTTCCTCCAGGAAGCACAAAGCCTTCTAAAGAACAGCCTCTTGGTTTTGACAGTCTCCCTGTGCGGCTGGAAGAGTCAGGGCGATTACAGGATAATGTACAGCACAGATGAACCAGCAGGACCGCAAGAAAACTAGGCCTGTAAAACAGTTGCCTCTTTTTTCTCTACCCACCCCAATCCTGGATCCAACTCCTCCCCAACCAGGGATCACTTCATGGCACCAACATCAAGGCTAAGGATGCTTGGCTCAGGCTGGGGAGGGCTCAGAGATGCTGGGGTTCTCTGCATCTGTCAGCTTAAGCTCTATGGTTCATAGTGGTGGGAAAAGGGGCCCCTTCCCTGACCTCTGACCCACCCCTTCCTTCAACCCAGAGGGAGACACCATGATTGGGACAGAATCCAATTCAAGGGGGGAAAGAAAAGGAACAATGACTATTGAGGTCTTTGCCAGGTCATAACCCGCCCCCCACCCCATCTCTGAGCCCCTTAATGACCCAAAACATCAACATTCAGAGACACAAGGGAGAAGCAGAACAATCCCCTATTCAGTGCCAGGGCCTCTGCTGGGGGGCCTGGGGTCTCAGGATAGGGGAGGCTATTCTATGGTTAGCTTCCCTTTCCTTCCTCAGCAGCAGGTCAACTTTCTGGGGAACAAAAGAGTAGGGGCTGAAAGAAGAGGTTCCATCCTTTCTGGCTGTGAGGAAGTCTCCTTTCCTCTTAGGTTGAGGCTTCAGACTCTAAATTGGAATTGGAAGCAGTCATACAAGAGCTCAATGAAATGGTAATTATTATAGCACCTCATTTTTATTGTATAAGCAGGATGAAGCCAGTATAGGGAAAGTTCGGTTTAGAGAATGTGGGGTGTGTGGAGTGTGTGTTTGTGTGTGGGGGAGAACAAGCATATTGCTCTTCTTTGCACAATCTTTATGCTTAGAAAGCCCCTCACAGGGGCCCATTCTATACAGTTTTCATGGTCATCCTACAAAACACCTTTCAGAGGCAAGAAAATTACATTTAGAGACTTTAGCGGCACTATATTATTTTCAGAGGAAGCAGAGACAATGCATTTGAGCAGTGCTTACAAATGGTTTGAAAAGCGTGTTCAATATCTGTTTGGTTGATAGGTTTTTTGGACAATAAAGTTCCCAATCCTGGAAATGCCTGAGCATGGTCTTTGAACTTCTGAAGATCTTTGAAGATCATGCTGTGGCTTCACATCACCGTCCTCCTTAGTTCCCTCTTTCCTCTACTCCGGTCACACATACACCCCCTTAACTTTCATGCATTCCACTGGGGTTCCTCCAGTATTCACCAATTCCTTTCCACTAAAATACCCCCTTGCCATTTTCACCTCTTGAAAGTCTGTGCTCCTTCAGTCCTAAACAACTGTCCACCCATTTCTTGAAATAATCTTCCAGTTCAAGGAAGTCTGAGGTACAGATCTGGACTGACTGTTTTCAGATGTCTAAGCACTTCTCCTAGGTGCTCTGAGTGAGGGCACGGATGCCTGTGTGGCACTTTGCATTCCAGTGCCTACTGCAGTGTCTGACAGCTCTTAAAGCACCATGAACTGTGCTGGGATTGACTGAAGACTCTGGCCACTATGATATTTAGACTCTGGCCACTATGATATTTAATCTTTGACTGCATATTCCTAAGCACCCCATCAGTTGCTATGGAGAATGCAAAACTCAAGCATTCCACAAGCAGAATGCATTCTAAACAGTTAAAAGTGTATAAGTGGCCATTTATGATGTACAATGAGCCAAAAGGATGTCAAGGAAATCAAACAGGCAAGAAAAATGACCACATCCCTTCCCTGCTTAAATCTTCCTATAATTTCTTCTTAGGTCAGGGCCCAAATTCCCATGCCCCACCAACCTCCTCAGCCCCTTCCCCCAACATACGCCATACACACTTCCTTCACATTGGCATTTACTCTCTCCTACTGCCATCCTTCTCTGACTCCGGGCCACTGCCCCACCATGCTGGGTCCTCCCTCCAAAGCACTCAGCATACTCTTTGCTGCTGTTTCTTCAGGTTAAAGCTCATTTCCCCCAAGGAAGTTTTTCTGACCAGGTCAAATTCCTGTTTCCAGTATTTTTTTTTTTTTAACAGCCCTCATCTCAATGAGCATTTGTACATCTAATTGTGTGAGTAGTTATAAGAAAATCTGCCTCCCTCCCTAAATCCCCAATCTAGTGACAGTAGCATCAAAGTGTTTACCCTGGCTCTGTCCCACAGGCTAGGCATATCCTAGGGGCACAATAAATAATCAACAGATAACTGAAGTCATGACAGTGCACAGAACTTTTGAAGAAACAGATGACAAACGGTATAAGACTTGAATGGTAGGGAGAATTTCAATAGGCAAAACGGCAAGAAAGAGCATCAACAGGAACCGTATGAATAGACAAGGGGAAAAAATTCCCATAACTCTGGGAAAATATATGGCACAATGGACCAACCTAGAGGCATAGAAGGAATGGAATGTCAAGCTGTGATGGGCTTTGCTCTCAGATGAAGAAGAGCTAGTGACTTTTTTTTTAATGTGGCAAGACCATGCTGATGAGATCAGACGGAGTGACTGGGTGCAGAGAAAAGTAAAAGAGCTGGGCAGACTCTGAAAACAGGAGATGGGTAGGACCGGGCCACATGTGGCTGGCTGCTCTGTAAATGATGTTCTAAGTTCACTCCTTCATAATCCCCAGGGGTGCAGCAATGCCCTCGAGACCTAAGAGCCTGGCCTGGGAGTCCGGTTCTCCTCATGCACATTAAAATTTCAACTGATAGGCCACATGCTTTGCATGCTGTCGCATTAGCTACTCAGTAAAACTCTGAATGATGGAATGAGTCAAAGAATCCTAAGACTGGCCATGAGGAAATTGCAAAATGGTAGCAGACAGAGGAATGTGAGAATGAGGTAGTTTGTGGAGAGAAAGTTGCTGAGTTCAGGTCAGCCCTACAGCGTGCTTGGCAAAAGTAAACACACACAAAACCAAAAATTTGGGACAAGAGAGCAGGTGAGATTTCACTTCCTAGAGACTTGAAGTAGAAAATTCTAGCCCTGGGCTTTTCTAGAATCAGGGCCATGCACACCCGAGATAGGAGAAGTTCCATCTTTTTGTTGGTATGATAACCCAAGGAGGTCTCCAATATGCTAGAAATAGAGAATGGTCACAAATGGAGGAGGAAGAGGAGGAGGAGGGAGTAGGAAGGAGGAGGGAAGAGGGAGAGGAAGGAGGAGGGAAGAGGGAGAGGAGGAAGGAGGAGGAGGGAGAAGAGGAGGGGGAAGAGGAGGAGGAAGCAGCAGCAGCAAAATTTCCCAGGCACTCAGTCATCAGCATCCCAAAGCATCCAAGATGTTTTGTTTCTTGGGAAATAGATGACAATGCCTTCCAGGTGTGGCCTAAGATGGCCAAGGCATGGAACCCACCCCAGTGTTTTTAGAACTTATACTATGTCTAGGAAGTCCTTGTTTTCTTGAAGTAGCCCCACTTCACTCTCAGAGTAGAATGTTCCATGAGGGCAAAGTCTTGGATGTTCTATTACTGCTATGGCCCATAGGCCTATGACTGTGCAGTAATCAATCAACGATATTCACAAATGCAGGAGTCGGGTATGAAGCACTTCATTTAGAATCTTAGTTATGTCACTGACAGAATACCTTGAACCCTTGAACAACTTAAACTCTTTCAACCTGTTCCCTTTCTTATAGAGAGGGAAGAACAATCTTCATGTAATTGGTGTGAAGATTAAATGAGACACCTGTGCAATGCAGTTGGCATGATGCAAACAGATGACCCATCCTTCACACTACAGACAACACATGGACATCATGATGTCTACTTCCTCCACTCTTGTGCTTATACTAGTTAGGAAACACTGGGGGAAGGATTATGTCAAATCCTGTTATCAAAACCCATCCCTTCATTGGGCCCTTCTCATTACATTTAAGGCATAAAGGGTCTAGGCATGCACTGGAAACATTCATAACTGGGAAGACTTCTTCCTTGTATCAACCCACTATGATGGGTTGATCGTTGTTGATGGTTGCATCATTGTTGAAGGTGCTGAGCTCATTCACCTGCAGATCCCCATTCTAGAGGGAAAGGAGGAGGAAAGACTCTAAAGGTTGATTTTTCAATATACAATGGAAAAGGCTTGAGCAGTTAGGGGACTTGCTCAGTGTCACAGACTAAGCAGCAAGTCCAGAATGAGAATTTGAGCCATGTATTCTCCCTTTTCAGTCCAGTGTTCTCCATCCTGCTGCTGGAGTATATCAGGTGTGTTAGAACACATGGGGAAGTGATGCTGAAGGAAAAGTCTCCCTACAAGAGAAAAGGAAACTCCCTACAAGAGTAAAGGACTTTGGGTGGAGAGGACTCTACCAGGGTTTACAGAAAAAGCCAAGACCAGTTCTCACTGCCCTAAGCCCCTCTCTTTCCCTTCTTCCAGATTCTCCAGCCTAAATGCCTAGGGGGAGCCAGCATAGAATGCAAATCAGCTTAAATCTGCAGGAGTCTGTGGAAGGAGAAGGATGGGGCAAACAGAGGCAGCAGATGGGTGTCTGCAACCTCCCTGCCATCTCCTTGGAGACAGGCTAGATTCAGTCAAGAAAGGGCTTAGAGGGATGGAGAGACCAAGGACTCACTGGGTAGCCAGGCAGACAACTTCTAAAAGGAGAAGCGCCCGTGTCAAACGCCAAATAGAAAGATGAGCAAAGAAAGAGGAATTGCCTCTAGGCGGGGAACTTCCAGCTCTCTTTTGTTCACAGGGATTTTTCTGGTTCCCAGCTTTAAAGTGTGGCTTAGGGACAGTGGGTAATTTAATTAAACATTGCCAGGGCTTGGCTGGGGTTGCCTGGGAGCTGGTGGCTTAAAGTTCCTACCATGTCCTGGTCTCATCAATGGGCTATATTGAAAGGAACTGTGTACTTGTGTTGATGGAGGAGAGGAGGGGGTCAGAGCTTACATGCAGGAATTCTAATCTATTCTGACAAGCTGTCTGACAGACCCAGCCTTTCTAAGAATTCAGCCTCGTGCCTTCAGCACCCAGCGCAGAACTTGGTACAGAAGAGAGGTGCCAAGGAAGGTGACCCTGAAGGAGGAATGGCTGGATGAAACCAAAGCAGTGTTGACTGTGAAACCCACAAGGTAGTCATTAAGAGGATTCCAGCTGGAGGAGGCCATGCACACCTGTAATCCTAGCACTTCAGAGGCTGAGACTGGTGGTTGACCAGTTTAATGCCAATCTGGACTAAAAATCCTGACCCACAGACCACATCCTTAGACAGGGGTGTGGATATTGGAGGAGTATCTCAGTGGTAGAGCACTTGCCTAGACTACAAGGCATGTTCTCATCCTCAAACATAAACCTCAAGGAACTCCAGTTCTGACTCACATGCTATAACCACTAGGCAGAAGGTGGCCTGTCTCAGGGAAAAGAGACCAGCAATCAGACCCTGTGAAGGAGATTCAGCTATGTGTTCCCAGGTCCTACAACTTCACCTTTGTTTTTTTAAAATCCCCTAAGACACAATGACTTCTCCAAGTTCTATGACCATTTTAGGTACCCCAAAACATAGCTTAAACCTCTGACTTTCCAACAATGGAACAGGAATGTGCATGACCAGGTGGTTCTCCCTTCCCCCAGTCTCTCAGTTCCTCCCCCTGCTGTCTCCAAGGTTCAAGACCACTAGATGTTGAGACTTCTGGAATCTTGGCCCCAGAAGGCTTTGCTCAATTGGCCAGGGTCATACAATCCTCAGTAAAGAGGCTGTTGAGAGTTATGACTAAAGATGGGGACACCAGGGAGGAAAGACCTCTTTCCCATGACAGTCCTCATTAGCACACAGGATGTGAGGGCTTTCCTGGGAAGCTGAGATGATCTGTTCAACAGCTGTTCCCTGAACCACAGGCCCCTCCTCATCTTCTCTCTTCCCTCTCCACCACACCTGCTTCTGCAGGCTCCTTAGCTACACCCTTGGGAAGGGCCCCCAGTTGAAGAGCCTACACTTTCCAGACAGAAATCTGTCCCAGGTTATCAATTAAACTTGGATACCCTGGATCCAGTAAGGAGATACAGCTGTGTCCTTCTCCATCCTCCAGTGACCCCCAACCCCCACCCCAACCTGCACCCTGCAGCTCCCTTCCTGGTTCTGATCTGGAACAATGGCTGCTCAGCTGGGAGGTGGGAAGCGATCTTAGGAGGAACTTAGCTCTGCTGCAAAGACAAGAGTTTAGGGTTCTGGGAGGCACAGTGTCCCTAATATGCTACTTTCTGGAAGAGGCCAGGGGACAGTTTATTCTTAGGAATTTTGCCGCCGCCGCCTCCTCCTCCTCCTCCTCCTCCTCCTGGAACTTAGCTCTGCTGCAAAGACAAGAGTTTAGGACTCTGGGTAGCAGTGTCCCTCATGTGCTACCTTCTGGAAGAAGTTTGGGGACAGTTTCTCCTTAGGCATACTACGTCCCCTATCCTCCCCTCCTCCCTCGACAAAGACAGCAGCTTAGCTGCCAGGGATTCCGGGGCCCAGTCCCTCCCCTCCTCTCTCCATCTGCTCTGGCCTGTTGCTTCAGTGCTTGGAGTGCACAGGCAGAGGCATCTGTGAATGCCACAGCACCCAGGATGTTCCGTTCCCTGGAATGCCCAGGCTCCATTCTCTCTTCCCAGGGATGCTCAGGGGTCTTTCCCACACTTCACTTAGAGCCTGGGGGACCCCTCTTCCTCCCCAGGTTCTCACATGCAGTACTGGCAACAGGAAGGATTGGTCCCCTCCATGGAAGAAGCTAGGGGCAGTAAGGTTTGGGGAGGAGGAAAGAGGCCATATGTGGTAGACCATGGGCGTCTGAGGCAAAGCAGGGTCAGCCAAGGTGTGTGCAGCCAAGGGATCCAAGCAGTACCTTGTGGACGCGTGCACACTGCCTGGGGGCTGCAGAGCCTCAGAATTCCACACAAAAGGCCATGGAGGGTATAAAGGGGTCTCCTGCGGGCTAGGCTGAAGCTGGGTTTGCATAACTAGGGCAGTAATAATTACTTGGAAGGACGTTTATCTGGGGATGGCTGTGGGGTGCTCAGTGGGATAAAGGCAGCAAAGCGCCTGCTCCCAGCAGCTCCCGGTGACACCTGTAGGCGAGCTACCCACTGGGTGGGTCACAGTGGGCCCACGAGGCGGGATCCCGGGGCAGACCAGGGAGGTGCGCGCTCACCCGTGTCTTGGCGGAACTGGTTCATGGACTGCAGGTCGATGATGTAGGGCGCCAGCCGGCTGTCCACCTGGCCCAGCACCACGCTGCCCCCGGCGCGGGGCCCCGCGCGGACTACCGCCTCGATGTGGTGGCTCACGGCCGGGCTGTAGGGTCGCCAGCGGCCGTGCTCGTTCAGCCATTCCCACACCACGACGGCCGAGGCCAGGAGCATGGCGAGCCCGGGGCTGCGGTGCAGTGCTGCCCGCCTCCCGGGCCCGGCACGCCCGCCCTCCTCCGCTTCCTCCAGCGCCGCCGCCTCCGCCCTCCCCTGGCTCCTCTCAGGCGCTGCCAGAAGGACTCGCCCCTCCCAAGCTGGGCGCCAAGACCAAGTCTTGACCCGGGGCTGTCCGGGGTCCCTGGATGCCGAGGAGAGACCCGCAATGGCGTGGCCGGCCGGAACTTTGCAGCGTTGTTTCAAACCTGGAACTTTCTTTTTTTTAACGCGGCGACATCAGCGTCCGCAGCGGAGCTCCGAGGCTCGCGGTCTCGCCTCGCGCATGCCTGACACACTCACACCCGCTCATTCACGCACGCACACCCCCACGCCCTCCTGGATCTGGCTGGAATGACCTCGTCCTAGGCTGCATCCTTCCTCAGCTGTCTGTCAAGGATGCAGGCAGCGCCAAGCGCCAGGAGGGTCCGGGCCTCGCAGCGGCCGCGTCCCGGGCTCGCGCCGGGTGACCGCGCTGGTCGGCCCGCCTCCGCCCTCTCTACGCCCGACCGCGCAGGCCGCCGCTCCCCCTCCCCTGGCTGCGCTCAGGCGCTGCCAGAAGGACTCGCCCCTCCCAAGCTGGGCGCCAGGACCAATTCGCGCCCGCGGGGCTGTCCGGGGTCCCTGGATGCCGAGGAGGGACCTGCCATGGCGCGGCCGGCAGGAACTTTGCAGCTTTGTTTCAAAACCTGGAACTTTCTGTTTTTAATGCGGCGACATCAACGTCCGCAGCGGAGCTCCGAGGCTCGCGGTCTCGGCTCGCGCGTGCCTGACACACTCACACCCGCTCATTCACGCACGCACACCCCCACGCCCTCCTGGATCTGGCTGGAATGACCTCATCCTAGGCTGCATCCTTCCTCAGCTGTCTGTCAAGGATGCAGAAGCCACGCCCCCTGGCTACTTGCTCTGGTTCACTTGAGCTCCCCCGCCCCCTGCTGGTCCAAAGCTCCAGGTTGCTGGTTAGTGGGCACATGTCCTGCTCAGCCTACATCAGCTACTGAGCCAATCCAAAGGGATGCGCGGTTCCCAGTACTTTATGTGGAGCAGGTGTGGTTTTGCGGGCCCATTTCTATGTTACTATGATCTATTCTGGAGTAGTTCTCTGAATAAAGACACGAAAACAAACAGGAAGCTAGACTTGGTTATCTTCAGATCATCAGTAATACTTAACAAGGAAAAGAATGTTAAGTGGCCAAAGGGGATTGAGGTCGGGATTACATATTAATGGCGAGCTTGGTCTCTCACGTCAACACTCCCAACACTTGAGGTTGAGGCAGGAAGATGAGGAATTTCTGGCCACCCTGGGCTACATATCAAGACCACTTTTAAAAATTTGTTTATTTTTTATGTGTATAAGTGTTTTGCCTGCTTGTATATAAATGCACCTCGTGCTTGTAGTGCTAGAGGAGGCCAGAAGAGGGTGTCAGAACCCTGGAACTGGTTATTAGCTGCTTTCCGGGTGCTGGGAACTGAATCTGGTTCTCTGCAAGAGCAGCAAGAGCTTTTAACTTCTGAGCCATTTCTCTAGCCCAAATAGCACAAACTAATTCCATATTAATCTTGTCAGAATGCACACTTTGTTTTGCCGTGGCTGAAACCACAGGAACAATTCACTCATTCTGTCAAAGTCAAGACAGACTATGGAAAAAGAACACTGTAAGATCTTTTTTTTAAATGCTTTAGAAGACACACAGGAAATGGTGCCCATGCATGTGAAGTAGGAATTCCCAGGTGGAGCAGGCCTAAACCAGTGTTCTTTACGTTGGGTTGGATGCTTAAACAATGAATAGGAAGCAAAGATAGACTCCGACCTTCCCATGTTCACCCTGACTTTGTGTCTGGAGTTCTTGTGTCTGCCATGTTAACCACCACAGACTATTAAGCAAGGTTCAAATGCATGATGACACCAGAGAGGATCTATATACGGCCTGGTTAATTTGCTAGAAGAATGAATGTATAGATGGCTTCATATTAGTAATCAATTATAATAGTACTGTCAACCTGACAGGATCTAGATTTACCTGGGAGCCAAGCTTCCCAGCATATCTATGGTTATTTTGATTTAGTTAATTGAGGTATGAAGACCCACCCTAACTGTGGGCAACACTATTCTATAGGCTAGGGTTCTAGACTGAAAAAAAAGTGAGGTGCACACCAGCATTCAACACTCTCTCTTCCTGACTGTGGGCACAATGTTACCAGTTCCCTCAGTCAAGAACCTGCCACCATGACTTCCAGGCTATTATGAACTGTGAGCCAACGGTACGCCCTTCCTCCCTACTTTGAGGCATTTTCTACAGCAAACAAGACAAATAACTAACATCAATTCCAGTTACAAAGTACATCTTAATAAGCCATGTTAGCTTAGAGTTCATAAAAACATATTTAGAACTGATAGTTTATAAGTAAATAATAAGTATAAACATTTTAAAAATCTTTCAAAGCAATCCTAACCTCAGCTGGTCTGGGTCACAAACCCCAAAAAGCAAAAACTAAAAAACCTTTTCATTTTAGTATCCAAATTGTGTCACCCAAAGTGTGCCCTATGCCCATAAGTGACATTAAAAAAAAATCTTTAACCAAATGGCAGGCCTGATTTGTAATTTGGACATATGGTGGTTATAATAAAACCTCACTAATTGAGACTAAATGGAATGAAGCCAGTTTTGAGCTGTCCAAAGGTACAATTTTATGAAACTCTGGAAAATGACATCATTGTGTACACAAGTTTTAATAAAATCATTCTCTTCCTTTTCTATGGAGTGTTCATAGATAAAAGTCACTTTTTTCCCAATCACCCATTACTATAGAATAAACCACTCTGAAATTAGTGGCTGAAAACAGCAGCAAGCTTTTATTTTGCACCAAATCTGTGATTCCAGGAAGGCTTCTGAGGAAAGTGAGTCTGCAACACACAGCATTACTCCCTGATGCTGGGATCTGATAACTCAACTCGGGCTGTCTGCCCAAGGACCTCTACATGTTGACAACAACCTCACCATACAGAGACTGATTTCCAGCTAAGCATAACCCAAGATGGAAAGTCAGGCCGAAGCTGCAGGGCCCATTGTTTTAATTAAGAGGTTTACTTGAAAATTATCATAAAGCATATGCAGTAGTAAAAAATAAGACCAGGTGTCAGCACTTTCTTTCCCTTGTTATCCAATGGCAACATTATAAGACTGTACAAGACTATCACTGATACACAGTAAAAGAAGTTACAACTGAGCGCCCTTATTAGTACATCTTTGTGCAATACATTGTACAATACATATTTTTGCATACAATGTACATTATATCACCACAAAGATCCCTTCTGGTGTGCATTTTTTCCCTGTGCTGCAGTCTTCCAGCCACACCCACTTCCTTCCCGTGGTCATCTGTCCTGACTGGCAATCACCAACATGTTCTCACAATAGTTATGATTTTGTGACTTTTTAAAAAATAGTGTTATATATATGGAATCAAACATTTGGTCTTTGGAGGCTGGAATTTTACACTGAGAACAATTCTCTAAAAATTCATTCAAGTTAAGTGTGTCAACTATGCTCCTTTTTAGTGCCAAGTAATGTTCAATAGTATCAATACGACAGTTTGTTTTATTGTTTACCCATTGAAGAACATACGAAATGTTTCTAGTCTGGGCTATTATGAATTATAAAATTGCTATGAACATTCTCAAACAGATTTTTGTGTGAACATTAGGTTCCCATTTTTCTGTGATAAATATCCAGGATTTTAATTACAGGATAATAAGGTAAATGCAAATTTTTTTCTTTTTGAAAAAGCTATCAGTTTTATGGGGCTGGAGAGATGGCTCGGCAGCACTCTTGCTGAGGACCTGGGTTCAATTCCCAGCACTGACTATGCAGCTCATAACTGCCTATAACTCCAGTTCCTTGGAATCTGACACCCTCTTCTAGCCTCTAAGGGCACTGGCACACACACAGTGCATATGCACATACACAAGCACTTACGCGTACACATAAAAACAAATAATTCTTTTTGTTTGTTTGGTTTAGTTTGGTTTTTGACAGGGCCTTCATAGTCCCACCCCACCTAGAAGTCATTATGTGGACCACACTGTCCTTGATCTCCTGGTCCACAGAGATCCACCTGCCTCTGTCTCCTGAAGACTCGGATTAAAGGCATGTGTCACCACACACGATGATGTAAACATCTTTTTATTTATTTTTTTAAAAAGAAATTCTGCCACTTTTCCATTTTGTATTTTTACTTTGCAATATACCTGGCATCTGGTCTCTACATCCTCACTGTTTACAGTATAGTTTAATGTTCTCAGTATTCTTTATTTTAGTCTTTCCAATAGCCATGGAGTGATACTTCGATAATTCTTGTGCTTTTATTCTTTCTCTCTCTCTTTCTCTCTCTCTCTCTCTCTCTCTCTCTCTCTCTCTGCCTACACATGTGTGTTAATGATTGTGATGCTCAATATCTCTCTGTGTGGCTATTTGCCATCTGTATATTTTCTTTGATAAAATGGCTGCTCATGCCTTAGCCCCTTTATTTTCTGTGTTGTTGTTGTTGTTTATTTCTTACTTTGAAGTTTGAGACCTTTAAAAAATATTCTACACCAGCCGGACATGGTGGCGCACTCCTTTAATCCCAGCATTTGGGAGGCAGAGGCAGGTGGATCTCTGTGAGTTCAAGGCCAGCCTGGTCTACATAGTGAGTTCCAGGACAGGAGACCCTGTCTCAAAAAGACTAAAAAAAAAAAAAAATCTACACCAGTAAAGAAAACTGATTCTCCCTCTCCCAGCTTCCATAAAGGGCCGATAGAGCTCAGCTAAACTCCAAAGGATAGATCCACACCCAAGAACATTAAGAAAACACTGATTAAAATCGGAAGGCATTTAAGTCAAAGACAAATAATAAAGGACATGAAATCAAATGGGGGGGGTAGCAAGGTGGGGGTGGGAAGAGGGAAGGGAGTCTGGATGTTATCAAAATTCATTGTATGCAATTCTCCAATCAATAAAAATATTTTAAAGAAATATTCTATATTTAAAAAATAACCTTGGAGATATATCTTGGAAATATCTTCTACCAAACTTTAACTTACCTTATCATGTTCTTTCTGCCCTCTCACAAAGGAAAAGTACTTCTTAGATTTCCAACACTACGTTGAATAGCTTGGTGAGAATGCACATGCTTGCTTTGTTCTGAATCTTACAGAAGTAGCATCCAGCCTTCATCATTAAGAATTATACTAGCTTGGGGCTGGAGAAAAGGCTCAGTAGTTAAGAACACTGGCTGTTCTTGCAGAAGACCTGGGTTCGAGTCCCAGCACCCACATGGCAGCTAACAACTGTCTATAACTCCAGTTCCAGG